GGGTTTCGATTCTAATATAGATTACGGCTGCCATTGCGAGCTGGGAAGCGTCAGAGAAACCGTGGAGCTCAATTGAGTGCGCAGTTGACGAAATGTAAAACCAACGTGGAATGTCTAGTTTACTCAATGCGAGTAGTTGTTGCTTGAAGTCGGTCCATTGCTCCTGCAATTCAAATGGCAACGGAGTATCCCAATTTACCTTAGCTAGCCAAAGTTTTTGAATAAATATTTTTGCGCGAATTGTAATGGGTGCGATAAGACCTAAAGGATCGTATAATTGAGCTACTTCGGATAATACAGATCTTTTTGTTAGGACTCGAGTTGAAGGCGGCATTGAGATAAATTTGAAAACGTCAGTTTTCGGTTGCCAGCAAAGACCTAATACTTTGATGCGAGAAGAATCTAGTTGTACAGCAGATGCGTTGTCACACGATAATAGTGATGAATGATTCAGCAAATCTTGAGAATTACTGCTCCATTTTTGCAGCGGAAAACCGCCCGCCGTGCAAAGTTTACATACTTGAGATATTACCTCATTTGCTTCTTTAATCGTTTCGGCACCACCGAAAATGTCATCAACATATCTCCCCTTTGTGAGCGGAGGTATAGCTTTAGGAAATCGATGGCCTTCATCATGGATAAGCTGTTGAATCACGCGAAGAGCGAGAAAAGGAGCACAGCTAAGACCGTAAGTTACAGTAGTCAACTTGTATGAGCGTAATTGTCCATTCGAGTCATGCCAAAAAATACGTTGTAGGTTTTGATCGTCTGAATGAATTAGAATTTGACGATACATCTTGGTAATGTCGGATGTGAACACGAATCGATGTATTCGAAACCAGAGCAATACGTCAAAAATGTTTGTTTGTAATTTGACTCCAGCATGCAAAATGTCATTTAAAGAAACGCCACTCTTGGAGGGACTCGACCCGTTAAACACAACTCTAAGTTTCGTCGTTTGACTGCTTTCACGTATCACTCCATGATGAGGCAGATAAAAAACGGGAGAAGCGTTGACTTCAGATTCTGGGATCTGAGTCATGTGACCTAGAGATTGATATTCTTGTAAGAAATCTGAGTATAATCTAAAATAAGAGGGATCTGTCTCAAATCTTTTGCGAAGTCGTGATAGGCATCGAAGCGCTAAAAAGGATGAGTCTCCTAGTGAAGTTGCTGGAGCCTTTAATGGGAGCCGAACTATATATCGACCGGAAGAATCTCGAGAGCAAGTAGAAAGAAAATGTTGCTCACATTCTGCATCAGCAGAACTTAAGAGTTTTGAATTCAATTTCGGAACTTCTTCTTGCTTCCAAAAGCAAGTTAGTAGATCTTGTAAATCGCGATCAACGCGGCAATGAAATATTTGACCTTCGTTTTGGTCTGTTGGAAGATTCACGGGTCCTGAGACCGCCCATCCAAACAAAGTTAATTGTGCGATAGGCGATGTCGAGTCACCTTTTATTAAATTGGGCTTGATGATTTGACCATAAGCATCCGCTCCAATAATTATATGAATTGGTCCAGGCTTACCGAAATTAGGATCTGCAAGTTGTAAATTATTAAGATGCGTCCAGGGTATACTAACTACTTTAAAGGTTGGTATTTTAAAAGTTAAACGCGGGAGAATGTACGCTTGCAATACATAGGAGTCGGACGTGTCAAACGAGGAGTGAAGTTTAACAAAAACAGAGCCCTTAGTACTTCCTGAGTATGTTCCTCCAATGCCTAGTAAAGGAATCGTTGCAGATTGTCGAGGCACTTTCAACAGGTGTACCAAATCCTCGCTGATGAATGATAGCTCGGACCCTGGATCTAAAAGTGCACGAACAGATTCGAAGGTATTGTCATGAGTCTTTATTTTAACCTGGCAGGTGGCAAGTAACGTCAGGGGTCGCTGATTAATGGCATGTTTGGAATGACCAGCAAAGGATGCCTCTAGTCATTTTTGATCTGGCTTGGACGTAGTGTCGACGGTTAATGTATCTGATTCAGTTTTATTGTTTGTTACCGGCTTCTCTCGTGATTTGCGATCATCATGTAATGTGGTATGATGTTTGTTACTGCATTTCCTGCAACGACGAGAACTAGGACAACGACTAGCGGAATGACTCCCTAAACAGTTAAAACAAGAATTTAATTTGAGAGCTGTACGCTTACGCCGTTCGATGGGTTGCGACAAATAAATAGGGCAATTGAATAGGTAGTGAGAAGACTTACATAAACGGCACTCTACTCCATCTTTAGTTACTGGAGCCGTTGCAATCAAACTGCGAGATTTTGTGTCAGATTTATTTGATAACCATGTTGAGCGTCCCTTATCCCTGATGGATTTAGTCGACGAGGAAGCTAAACTTTCCCAAGCTCTAGAGTGACCAATTACGAATTGTTCGAACTCCTTTAAAGTAGGATACGAAGTTGAAGGTCCTAGCTTTACTTCCCAGGCTTCACGCGTGTCTTCATCTAATAGGCGAGCTAGATTATGTACTAGAAGAGGATCCCATGCATTCGTTTGACAATTCAAAGCTTCAAGAGCTCCCAGTGATTCGATGACGACGGCAATCATTGAATTTAATTCTTGCGGTGATTTTGATTTGATGGGTTTTAATCCGAGTAATCTATCCAGTTGTGCGGAAATTAGTACTCGCTTATTCTCATAACGAGAAACTAAATTCTTCCAGGCGATTGAAAACGTGTTGTCAGTGACCTTGAGGTTAGTAACGATTCGAGCAGCATCACCCGTGAGGCACGTTTTCAAGTAATGCATCTTTTCCACGTTGGTGAGGTCTCCATTCTCACCTACCATTGATGTGAATAAATCATGGAACGATCTCCAGGCATGGTAGTCGCCTGAGAATGCAGGCAAGCTAATTTTTGGTAAACTCCTCCGATGACTACCGGATCGATTTTCCGGTACTAATGTATCAGAAGATCGTGATGAAGGATTAGAGGCTTCTATAATGTCTTGATGCTCAAGTAATACAGCCTTCGCTTGAACGAAGAACTCTTGACATCTCTCATACGTTCGATGCTTTATGTAAGATTCTTCTCCGATTCTTTCCGCATGCGCTTGACATAATTTTTCGTGTTCCGCTTGAAATTTGATCCAATTGGCTTCGAGTACTTCAAGCCGAGTATTTAATAAATGACGAGAGATTCCATCAATTCCTTCCGAGGCATCTTCAACAGCGTTCTGAATCATTAGAAACCTGCTCATTTGCATTGATATCTGGGCACGTAATTGATCCATGATTTCACGACGCTCTCTTGCGAATCGTGGTGATGCGAGACGTGCTCGACAACTATGGGAGGAAGAATAAATGATAATTTCAACTCTTACTATAAGCAGCAACGCGCGCAACACTTAATGTATGTTAGTATTCGTTTGTTATTTCCGAGTCGCACTTCAGAGCGCACCCATCGCCAGATCCGGCTCGAAGGACCAAAAAATGTTCGTTTAAGAACAGAAATGAACGGTTAGCTTGGCGAAAGCGCGCTCTAAAGACGAAACAGAACTTAATTTTAAATATTCAAAATTTTAATGCAACTCAAATACAAAATATAATTGTACAACTAACTTTAGGTTTTGACAAAATTTGCAAATGATATTTATTATTCAGCATGGTATGTCCGATTCTGACTTTGATTCACTCTTGACCTTGTGGATAAACTTGAATGATGTATTATGCTGGAATCAACGGTAAACAAAGAAATAATAGTAAAAGCAGATGAGGAGGGGTGTAAATCCCAAATCTTCGCATATCGTGAAACTTGAGCCGATCATCAAGTTTCCAAAGAATGTATGGAGAAGCGATGAGGGAACCGCGTATGCGAATTACGCAACCCTCTGATAACAAAGAAGAAGTGAAAAGGGGGAAGAGGAAACGACTGGATAATCAGTGGAGGAGAAAGAGGAGAGGAGAGGAGCAGCTGGTTTTCTGGTGGGCATCATTTTCTGGTGAGTGAATACCAGTATTATTGAATTGCCCTGTCTTCGTGGTTAGATGTGTCAACGGCCAATCAGAGCATGGGTCGGTGAACGCATGCGCATACACCACCCAATACGATCTCAACCAATCACAATCGTTTATTATATTGGTAAATTTGATTTGGAAAAGAACAAACTTTACTCGTTTGACACTCATTGGCTGATACTTACTCGCTCAACGCTCATTGGTCAGCGTCGCGCGTAGTGATCTACCTTCTTAGCGCGTTCGGGAAAAAAGAACAAAATTGAGTTAGAATCCTCCCTGTATTACTACTATAATCGATCAATATGATTTTTTTAAAGGAATTGAAAACGTGTTTACGTGAACTTGCTATAGTAGACCACACGTTGGAAATTCTCGGAACGCCTAAGGAAGACCATATGCTACGTAATTGGATAATTCGAATAATAATCGGATGGATTGTATTCGTTTTTTGTCAGTTAATGTATAATACTTTTTTTGTTTTATCTGTTTTTAATATTGACATAAATTTCATCTGGTTTGTTGTTGGGATGTATTTTACACTTCTGGACGAGTATCCGTCAAATATTATTGCCTTAAGTGCTCTGATTTCTGCAGCTATACTTGGGTTAGTATTATACATGTGTATACATTTACTTTGTAAGCTATTTTTATTGACATTGTGCGTAAAAATCTTTACAGTGTGAAACACATAAAGATCTTTTGGTGATATATAAAGATTGGAAGTTATGACCATGACCTTGACAACATATGTATGTTGTTTGTATTGTCTGTACAAAACATGTATATACAATACCTTCAGTATTAAAAATATACTAAACAACAGATATTTAAAATAAATAATTAATCACTACTTTTTATTATTAAATATTCGTAAGAGATGAACATCTTTAAAAAAACGCTGTGAAAGTAGTAATGTTGAGTAATGTAATCGAATAAATATATGGTCAGAATTTCATCTGCAATGAACTTGATCTTGACATATGTCGTCATAAAAAAGTAACGGTAAAACTAACGGTAAAATTGTAACATAAAAAGTAACAGTAAAATCGTCATAAAAAAGTAATTACAAAACTAACAGTAAAAGTAACTTCCAACTCTGGTTGTAAGAGAGAGCTGCGCCGCATGTCGACAGGTAGTTATAATATGATTGAATTGACGCTACGTCTCTGCAATTTAAAAAATAATTCGATTTTTTTTCATTTTTTTT